AATGTGGAAGATAATAATTTTGAAAAGTAGATTGGAGTCTAATTAGAAAAAAGAACTTTGAATATTGGGTAACAAAATTTCAACTTTATTCTATATCCAATGCAGAAGCAATTTTTTTTTTTTTTTTTTGAGACGGAGTCTCGCTGTGCTCCCAGGCTGGAGTGCAGTGGCGTGATCTCGGCTCACTGCAAGCTCCGCCTCCCGGGTTCACGCCATTCTCCCGCCTCAGCCTCCCAAGTAGCTGAGACTACAGGCGCCCACCACCACGCCCGGCTAGTTTTTTGTATTTTTAGTAGAGACGGGGTTTCACCATGTTAGCCAGGATAGTCTCGATCTCCTGACCTCGTGATCCACCCGCCTCGGCCTCCCAAAGTGCTGGGATTACAGGCTTGAGCCACCGCGCCCGGCCCAGAAGCAATTTTTGACCAAAGATGAAACAAGATGAAACCTATAAAATTACTTCAGCAGAGACTTTTAAATGATGGAGCCAGAGCAGTAGAAGGCAGAAACCAATTTGGTGTCAGGGAGTCTGAGCTCAGTTAAGATTGATTCAAGCAGTGTAACGACAATACCACTTAAAACAAAAAAAAAGTGCCCCTGATTCTAATGAAACTATCATAACATCTGGCATTTTATTTACTTTACACGAATTTACTAAAATGATCCAGGGAATACTCTATGCATTGGCGTTTTACTTGCGTTTATGTTTCATCTTGCCAAGAAAAAAAAAACTTGCAAAATGATTGAGACACTTACCTGAAATGTCTAGCATAACACAATAGGTGATTAAGGAAAATCAACTCTAAAATAACAAACACAATTTGGAATCAAACAAATTAGAGAAATGATGAGATAATTATATTTAAAAATGATTGTTGAAAGATGGACTTATCAGAGCCTTTAAGATGCTATTGTGTGTAGTGAATCTCCACACTAGGAATGCTTCTGGCTCAGAGACTTTGTATTATATCCTTTGTCTAAGATGTTCTTTGCTTAGGCTCATTTCCTGACCTCATTCATTTCATTCAGGACTTAAATGTAATCTTATTGTACAATCATCTCATAATTCTTTTGAATGTTGTGCTTCAAATAAATGGTTTTATCATCTCATAAGAGTCACACACTACAGATAACCTCTTCCCTACTACAATTTTAGTGGCACCTCTATTTCATCAAAAATGCTTGTTTAAGGTTTGTTCTTTCTAGTTTTTGTAATAATTAATCATTCACCTATGTAGCAACACTTAGTACCTTTTTAGTGCCAAATTCCTTGGTTTAGGCTACATACGTCTTATTCTTACTTTCATGGTTTGCAGTTGCTTGTATTTTCTATATATATATTTTCAAAGAAAATTATATCACATCTCCTAGTTCCTGAAGTAACCAAGTTTTGTTTCTTGCTTATATCACTGAATATACTTACAACCCTTAATTAAACGGAGGCAGGATGTGCTAGACATACATTCTGTAATTCACCTAATGACAGTGAATTAACAGGACTCCACGATTTTTTTTTTTTTTTTAACTTTGGAACTTTTTGCTTTTGGACCTTTAAAAATTTCTCTAAAAAACTAAACTGCTTGCAGAGCTGTGAGTCCAAACCTATTCTTGATACCAAATCCTTTTTGAAACTTACGAAAACAATTGAAAGATGGTGACAGTGCTCTTTAGTTTTTATTGCATAGCAAACATCACATTTTCTCTTTCACACTATTTGCTCAAAAAGCATGGTGATTCTGGAACAATATAAGAATAAGAACGTAAAAATAGAAATATATAGATTAAACATTCATATAGTGGGGTAGTTACTCCAGAAGGTATTCAGCCAAGGTTTTTCTGGAGTTGAAAAAAGATGATGGTATACTAGTAGGCCATATAATACTAATGAAAAGAAGATTAAAATAGGTAGGCCAGGTGCGGTGGCTCACGCCTGTAATCCCAGCACTTTGGGAGGCCGAGGCGGGTGGATCACGAGGTCAGGAGATCGAGATCATCCTGGCTAATACGGTGAAACCCCGTCTCTACTAAAAATACAAAAAAATGCCGGGCGAGGTGGTGGGCGCCTGTAGTCCCAGCTACTCGGGAAGCTGAGGCAGGAGAATGGCGTGAACGCGGGAGGCGGAGCTTGCAGTGAGACATATCGCGCCACTGCACTCCAGCCGGGGAGACAGAGCGAGACTCCGCCTCAAAAAAAAAAAAAAAAAAAAAAATTAGCAGATCTTTTCTCTTTCCTTTGTATCTATTACTCCACAAATTTTCAGACAAGGGGAAGTATATAAGTAATATGGTGAATGCATTAGCCAGCTAATGGAGTTAAAGGTCTCTGTGTAAAACTCTCTTATTTTATACTTTATTCCACAGAAGAAAGCACCCACCTAATTTTGTCTGTGTAATTCTTTGACACTTTATTTATATCCCTGAGCAATAATTTTTTACTTAATATCATTTGTGAAATTCATCAATGATTATAGGTAATTTGGTTGCACTCCTGTATGGTATTTTATTATGTAAATATGATATACTTTTTTTTTTTGAAGCAGGGTCTCGCTCTGTCACCCAGGCGGGAGTGCTGTGGTACGATCGTGGCTCATTGCAGCCTCACCTTCTCGAGCTCAAGTAATCCTCCTGCCTCATATTTTTATTTTTTCATAGAGACAAGGTCTCACTATGTTGCCCGGATCTCAAACGCCTCAGTTCAAGCAATCCTCTCTCCTAGGCCTCCCAAAGTGCTGGGATTACAGGCGTGAGCCATTGTGCCCAGCCAAATATGGTATAATTTATTATGACTATTATAAGATTGCAACTATGCATGTTACCTTGTTCAAGAGTCTCTCTGGACTACAAACCTAAAAGTGTGATTTAATAGGCCATATGCACTTTGTATTTACCAGTGTATAGTCAATTTTCTCTCTAAGGAGGGTATACAAATACATTCCTGTCAGCAATGTAGTTTTAATGTATCCATCCTTTTGAATCATGAAACTTTTTTTCAACAAATCCAGTATAAAATTATATATTATTGTGGTTTTAACTTGGATTTTCTTTGTTAATAGTGAAATTAATCTTTTCATATTTTTGGGTTTGGGGGCAATGTCTTTCACCTTTTGCTCAAATTCTACCATATTTTTATCTTTTTTCTTATTAATTTGGAGATAGTGTTTATAAAGTCTATGCACTGAATCTTTGTCAATTACATTGAACATTATCCAATGTACCTGGAATGTAAAATTCAATGTAGGATCTGTTGCAACATTTTTTTTTCTCTGTCTGCCTTGTAATTGTCACATTTTATAAATAGAAATTTTTAATGCTAATGCAGCGAAATGTGCCTATCTTTCTTTCATGGTTACTGGTTCTTGTATCTTAAGAAATCCTTTCCTAACAAAAGCTATTGTACAATTTTTCTGTAAATTTTGTTTTTATTCATATTTTAATCAATCTGTAATTTTGATACATGTATGTCTGTGTGTATGTGTGTAGTGCAAGGTAAGAAGCTAGTCTATTATATTTTCTTTTTCCTTTTTAGCAATATTTACTCATCTCTTTTTTTCTTGATCATTGTCAAAATTTGTTTATTATGATAGTCTTTATTAAAAAATAAAGTTATGGCTTTATTAATTTCTAATATCTGCTTTTATCTTCATTTTTCCAGTTCTTCCATTTTATTTGGATTTATTTCATAGCTTACTGCAGCCTTTAATCTTAGGGTCAAGGCCTCCTCCCACATCAGCCTCCTGCACACCTAAGACTATAGGTGTACCGCCATGCAGCTAATTTCTTAAATTTTAAAATTTTTTATAAAGACAGGGTCTCACTATGTTGCCCAGTTTGGTCTACACCTCATGACCTCAAGTGATCCTCCCACCCTGGCTTCCTAAAGGGCTGGGATTACAGGTGTGCACCCCCAAACTTGGCCTGTTTCTAAGTGCTTTGGTTTAACGTTTATCTCACAATTTTATTCCATGCCAGTGGTTAAGATGTGTGTTTTCTTTCACTTTGGTTATTTTCAGAGGTTTGCTATATATAATTGTATAGTTCAAAATATTTCCTGTCATAAGACTTATTCTTTAGAATGTATTTTTAGATTTCCAGTTGCTCTTTTTAAATTGCTTTTATTATTTTCTAAATTATTACATTCTTCTTAGAGAGTGTTTTGCATTGTTCCAAGTGTACTTGAGAGGAATACATGTTCATAATTGTTAGGTAAAGTTCCTTTTTTTTTGCTTTGCTTTGTTATGTTCTATGTAATTTCTTCATTTTTAATTTTCCAGTTCACTAATTTCATCTTCAGCTGGGTCACACACATTTTATTTATTCATTACATTTTAATTTCCAAAATTATAGATTTTATTACTACAAATTCTATTTTGTTATTTTCAGATCCATCTGTTTACATTTATAGTTTCTTCTTTTTTATGTATATATTTAATTTATGTTTAAAATTTTTTCTCATGTTCCCAATTAAATATTTTTGCAGGTTTAATTACACTGTCTGATGTTTCTGATGACTTCTTTCATAGTGGGCTGTTTCTTTATGTTCTCTGTAATTTGGGCTTGTGAATCCATGTTTCGTGGGACTTTGTGTAAATTCTTTGAGACCTGGCATGTAGGTATATCCCTTGAGAAAATATTTCCTTTTACTTCTGCCACATCTCTGGAGGCTACTAAATTGTAACCACTATAATTTATGTTTCTAATTTTATGTACTTTATAGGTAATATAAATGCAAACTTCAAGCTTACAGCCGAGTAGTACTATGGGTTTTAATTCACAGAAATTTTTTTTCATGTTACAGATTACACAGACTTCTTCCTTGTTGGCTCCTTAAGGCAATAAATAGATTTGTTTCTCAATCCTCCATTGCACTGTGACTCTGGTCTTTCAAGAGCCCCAGGGACCTCAGTGATTTATTCTCCTTTCATAGGTGCAGTGTATTTTTGTTGTTGTTGTTTAGTTTTTGTTTTTATTTTGACTCTGAGTGAACTTTAGAGACCAAGGTTCTAATCAGATGTCATCAACATACGAACTCCAACTTTGTCGGCCATCAGCAAACTGGCACCTGCAATTAAACCTACAGGCATGATTTTTCCATAGTAGTAGGATCTCATTCCCATAACACCAACAAAAGTAACAGATGTAGCAGCTAGGAAAACCCAAACGTTCCTTGGATCCTGAGACAGCTGGTAAGAATCCAGGCCAGCTAGGCTGCCAAAGAACAACCCTGCAGCCAGGGACGGCACCCTGCCTGTTTTAACATAGCCAAAGATCCCACCAGAAACAACCAGTGCTGTGTAGCCAAAGCCAAACCAGTGCAAAGGCACTAATGGGAAGGGGCCCTTCTCCATTCTTCTCTTCTCAGTCCAGAAAGGAGACTACCACAGGCCTGCATTCCCCAAGGATCCGCACCGATCTCCCGAAGGCCCGCGCAGCCCACAAGCGCGCACAAGCCGCGGGGCACAGCAGCCAGGGTCTCGCCGGAAACGCGTTGGCAGAAGTCATGTTCCAGCTTGGACTCATGAAGGTTTAAAAATCTGCATCTTCCACTATTTTCAATGTATTAAAAGAAATAAGTGCAGCATTTTTGCATTTGACATTTTACCTAAAAAAAAAGACACCAAACTTGGCAGAGGGGTGGAAAATCAGTTGTTACCATTATAACCCTACAGAGTTTATAATGAGGATGTAACATGAGCTTATTGAGACCCTCATAGAGATCAATTCTTGTATATTGATGTTATCTCTTCTTTCTGTATCTATAGGTAAATTTCAAGGGTAAAATGTTAGGTGTTGACATTGAGAACCCTGAAACCCCATTCCTTGCTCAAGAGGAACAGTGTGAAAAAATAGAGTATCTGTTCTTTGGCTCATCTTAGACCACAGACTGACTTTGAAATTATGTTAAGTGAAATATCATTGAAAATAAAGTTTACTATAAATAATAATAATAAAAAAAAAGAGACCAAGGTTCTAGGTTTCTGAGATTTGTAATGATCCATGGGGCAGATGCAAGTTCAGTTCAAAATGACCACTCTGGTTTCCTGACTCTTCTCTGATTTTGGCCCCTGGGCATTTTTCTCTTGTTTTCCTATGAACTCAACTGTGAATCTGAAAGATTGTTATATTTCTAAATAGTTTATGAAGGAAGAAATATTTTTTAGAAGAGTAGCCTGCCATAATACTGGTGGAAAAACACCTCTCTTTTAAAATTCTCACAATGTGGGCTTTAGACCTAACATTTATTTATGAGAATAAAATAAAAACATTTTTACTATAACACAAATTTTTCTCTTTATGGTATCTAAAACTTTTAATTTTGTATTGAATAATTTTATCAATAATTTGTTTATTTATTTTTATTTTTATGTAACACAAATGTTAATAACAACAGTACTATAATAACAAATCCACCACGCTTCCAAGCTGATAAGTTCCTCCCTTTGAACAAACAAACAAATAAACAGATAATTTATTAAGTCATTAGGTTTTCTTTATTATCTATTTTGATCTCTCTAGAATTAAGGATAAGTTACTAGCATATTATAAATTTACTTTCTCAGGAAATAATCTTCCTCTCCAATAATTTGCTTATATGCTCTGTTAATGATTGATTTTTCTAATTGCATTTGTCTGCTTGATGTACTTCTGAGAGGATTTTACTCTTACATCCACCAAGGTGTATAGTAAATAATTCTACCTTGAGTAACATCTTCAATATCAGTTAATCAAATGCCTAATTGGATTCTATACCTAATACCTAATAAACTAATAAAACTAAGATTGGCAATGTTGCCAATGATAAGAATTAAATTGGTTTCATTTGCTTATTTTTTTAATGACCACTAGTATAACTATTGTTTATTTCCTTCATTTTAGACAGTCTAGCCAATGTGACAAATTTGTGACAAAGAGCCAGAAGTAAAAACTTCCCATCTTCAGGCATGAAAAACTTTCAATGGACAGAGTGACCCTTTTCAGCCCTTAACATACTTAACAAATTGTAAAGATGCTTGGAGATATTATATTTGACTATCAACTATTCTACCAGTATATGTCATGTAAGAAATCTAAAGGTATGTTGATTTAGAGGTATAGCGTTAATTCAAATGGACACCTATTTTAGTGGTAGAGGGAACAATATCAAGTTGAGTTAGTAGAAAAAAGTCATACAAATGAAATCATAGGAAACAATACAGGTCAACTAAAATATTATAAGAAAAGGGGAAAGTAAATTACCCCCAAATTATCTATTACCATTGAAATAATAGAACAAACAAATCATAGTTTAGCCAAGTAGTGTTAAAGTTGTAGTTAATGCTAAAGTAAGCACCTGCAGCTTTTAGTTGATTCAGCAATTGGGTGTCTCACTATTTCAAATATATTATAAGAAGAATACACACATAAAACTGAGGAATATGATTGCTTCTACCGCTTAGGGCAAGCATTGCCAAATGGTGGCTCATGAGAGAAATCTAGCCTACTGCTTGTTTTTGTAAATAAAGGCTTTTTGAAACACAGCCACTCTCTTTCATTTATGTATTGTCTATTGAAGCTTTCACACTACAGTGGCTGAATCGGATAGTTGTGACAGAGACCACCTGGCATGCAAAATGTAAAATATTTACTATTTAGTCCTTTGCAGAAAATGTTTGCCAACTTCTGGCTTAGGGAAAGCCTGTGCAAGAGTTTGGGAAGATTTTTACTTTTAGGTAAAGACAACTTATTTATAAAAGAGTTAAATTATACTGATTTGATAAAAAATGATTTGATGCCTACTAATAATTTTTGAAGTTATTGTTGATAATAAGCATTTAATTGTGTGTTCTACACATTAACATTATTGTCATGGGGGAAGTTTGTCCTTAAAAAGCGGGGAGTTATGAGGGGTAGTTATGTTATTTGGCTCTAATGTCATAAGCTGACTTCAAGTTCTGTAAGCCTGGACAATATTTAGACTGACACATATGGAAAACTTTTTCATGTTCTTCAAGAAATTCTCCTTTGCTGGGGCCATCTCATCTGCATTTCTTTTGATGCAAATGATATCCCATCAGCTCAGTTTTTAGTGTTTTGTAGTGTAGTCAGTACATCTCTACAACGTTGAGTTGCACATCTTCCTTTTTGTACGGGATCAAACACAACCCCTGCCACTGTGCTCATTCATATGGCTACAATTGGTCTATTCATTATTTTCCACAACATAATGGCAGCAGCAACTTCTGCTTCACCTCTGCCATCATTTAAGGATCTCTAGCTTTTGAGATTTTCCAAATGAGATTCAGGAGACAAATGTTTCTTGGGCTAATTCTTTCTTCCTAGAAGAAAGCCGTTCTTTCTTCCTAGGCTTTTGGTGATAGGCTAATGGCCCTACCCTTTTTTCTTCAGGGAGTAGGGCTTACAGCACAGTGTACAAGAAAGACATCCTCTTTCCAAAATAACCTTCTTATCCTCAATCACTTTATACCCTTGGTGTATGTGAGGAGTTTAATAGTATTCTACGAGTTCCTGAAAAATATTTTTTAAAGTTATACATAATAATTGATCTCAATACGTCTGGTAGCTGATATCTATCAAATTTTGGTGGCTTTGACAAAACTGGATGAGTCTCATTTAAACATACCATTTCATTGACTTAACTGTGTGGCAAAGCAAGTGTCAATCAAGAGCTCCAATTTATCCCCATGGCTGCCGCTGATTAGTTAGGATGTACCTCTGACCTGGCTATGTTCTTCTTTGAAAAGTACCTATAATACAGTTTTGTCTTGAGGATTTAATGAGATAACATATGTGAAAACATCTTCTGTAGTACTCAGTAAAGAGAACACATTTTAAAAATGCACACTCCCTTCCCTAATTCATATAATGATCTATACAGCAATCCATTTTATCAGAAGTAGCAAATTCACAACTTGTAGTCTGAATTCTCTGTGTAATTATACCTAGCTATAGCATAGACTAGAAATTCAGTTTCTAGAAGGTCTTAACTCTCCAGGTCACCCATTTCTACCAACATGCCTCATACATTTTCTTTATCTGGCTAACCCAGATAGACATTTACACTTGAAAATTGCGTTCTATAAAATAAGATTCAAAATTCCTTTTCTCTCTTTTCTCTAATAAAATCACCATAGCATTGCACTTAAATATATAGCTTGGTTCCCTGAAATGCTCCAATGACCACCTGCTCCTGGCTCCTCTTGGCCTCATTTCTTAACTCCATCTTTCACTCCGCTCTGGCCACACTGGCCGCTGCTATTATGTGGACACAAAAAGGCAGCACGACTTCAGGATTTTTCAATTGCTAGTCCTTCTCAATAGGACACATTTGCCCCAGATACCAGCCTAGTTTGACTCAATACTACTTTAGGTTCTTGCTGAAACAGAAGCATTGCATCCACAGAGAGGCTTCTATGACTACACTATTTAGTATAATTATTGCTGCTATGCTCTCCCTCAATAAGCTGCTTTATTTTTCTTTATACTAGTTATTATGACTTGACTTATATTATGTTCACTTATTTATTTATTATTGCCTATGGTCCCCAGTAGAACATAAGTTCTGGAAAAGTCAGCTCTTATGGCCAGCACTTGGGACAGTCCGTGGTACCTTCTAAGCACTCAATGGATATTTGTTCATAAACCATAATTAGGAACACAGTAACGAATACTGTAGAACCAGTGTTAGGGTATATGGTGACTATAATGGTGTGGCAGTGGTGGGGCGGCTTTAACTTATGAGTCTGTATTCAAGTAATATAAATTCAAAAGATGAGTTCTGGACATAGCTATCTCCTTAAATTTTAATGAGGTTTAAATTAAGGAAAAGTAGAAAACTTTTAACTTCTGTTATAGTTAATCGTGTATGTCAACTTGGTAGAGGCAAAGTGCTCAGATGTTTGGTTAAACAACATTTTGGATGTTTCTATGAGAGTGGTTTTTGAGTGAGATTAATATTTAGATTGGTAAACTTTAAATAAAGCAGATTGTCCTCCACAGTATGGGACCTCATTCAATCAGCTGAAGGTCTAAATAGGACAAAGACTGACCTCCCCTGAAAAAGAAGCAATTTTGCCACTGCATTTGGACTTGAATGAAAACATTGGCTCTCTTCTGAGTTTTCAGCCTCACCAGTCCACCCTGCAGATTTTAGACTTGCCAGTCACCATAATTACATAAGCCAATATCTAAATCTCTCTCTCTCTCATGTATATGTGTGTATATATGTATATACACACACACACATATATATACACACACATATATTTATGACAGGCAGAAGCTGGGAAGAGGCATCAAAAGCACACACACACACAGAACCTATATATACACACACACACATATACACACACATATATACATATATTTATACACATAAACACACACACACACACACATATATATATATGTTCTGTTTCTCTGGAAAACTCTAATACAGCTTCCAAAATGAAGCCATCCATTTAAATACCCAGCACTAACATTTAA